ATAAACCGAGTAAAACTCTTCACAAAATATTCCAATTTAAATTTCAAGTGGGGAATTGAAGTACACCACGTCTAAGCAACGGATACGGGAACGGGTGTCTGACACGGGTGCGGATCTAGAGATCGGATCCTTCGACATGTAAATTCTAAGATTCAGAAATATGGATCCTATTACGGATATTATGCGGGGATCCGGCTAAAGTAATTCAAAAAATATAAAATATCTCTAAATTATGAGAAATTTTGTGGAATACTTACGTATAGCTTGTAAAGTGTGGATTTCTTTTTTATTCTCAAGTTGTAGATAAGTAAATGTATGATTTTCTAGATAAGGTGTACTATTTTCTTCAAATTTACCCTATTTTTTGGTTCTGATTTCGGGAATCAAATTGTATCTAGTCTCTAATTATTTTGTCGTGATCAAAGTACCCAAAATTGTATGACCAGATTCGGTACGGATCCCATACCCACACCCATACTAGTGTCATGTCGACATGGGTGTTGTATAGGGTAAAATATGCTATGACACGTGGTCGTCCGAGAAAGAGGCATGTGAAACCCAAGACAGGGGGATGGCTAAAGACCGAAGACAACTGTGTCGTTTGTCATCAGAAAGAATAACGCTCATAAAGATGTGATAAATGCTCTTCTCCCGGTAACATTTAATAGAAAATATTTCATGGCATTAAGAGCAGTTACCCGTTACAAGGAATTTGGCATTTATGTTCATCGTTATATCTTCATCAATGCCCCCTCATAATTGACATTAAAGAAGGGCACGACCCTAGGACCTTCTTTATATCTATAAATAGTGAGCTCAGTTGTCATTATAAAGGACACGAATTTTCTAGCAAACTTATGTTATACTCGATACAAAGCTCAATCCAATCTTATCTTCTTATTTCTTAATTTTCCTTGTTGTTGTGCCCGGAAATCCTGTTCCCGGAATCATTACTTCTACTATTTCGTTTATATCCCAAGGCTAAGTATTGTGCAATTCTTCGATTATTTATTTATTTTATGATTAAATTAATTAACTGTACCATTTTACGGCAAACAGTTTGGTGCCCACCGTGGGGACTAGATAGCCTTGTAATTAAATTGATCCTTGCCTTTTTTACTAACGTGTTTTGATTGCTTTTGTCTTAGAAAATATCATAACACATGGCAGATAACACTGTTAACGACATGCGCAGCCCCGAGATTCGAGGGGATCAACCTCATTCCGAGGATTCAATCAGTGATACCCATAATGAGGGGAATGACGCTACACTAGTGCATGACATGCAGTATCCTCGACTTATTCGGGGGACCACTCCCGATGACGCTGATGAAGAGCATGTCATCGACGCGGTAAGGGTCTTGCAAGAGCAACATGAGATCATTCTAGGCCACTTCATGCAACAGGATAAAGTTATGACTAAGTTAAAGCAAGCGTTGTCGAGACCTTCAAATAATGCAAACAGACGAGATCTGATTCCTCCCGGGTTCCCACGAATCAAACGACGTGGAGGATCGACAACAACACTCCCAGGGGTGAAATTGGCTACGATAGGGCAGGGGGAACAGATTCGGCCTCAACAACGAGAATGATAATTTCAAAACTGAACTTTTACGATTCATGAGGGAAGTGAACGCCCCGCATGGACTAGATCCTGGGCGCGCCACCAGTGTTGAAAGGTCCGGACTCAAAAAAGTATACTCAATTGTCGTACAAGCCAAGTCCGGCACCAGAGTTAATCCCAAAGCGGTTTAAAATGCCTGAAGTTCCAAAGTATGACGGAACTTCTGACCCCCAGGAGCATATTACCACCTACACAACGGCGATAAAGGGAAATGATTTAGCCATTCACGAAATTGAATCTCTGCTGCTGGAGAAATTTGGAGAAACCCTCATGAAGGGGGACTTGACATGGTATTCACTATTACCAAAGTATTCCATAGATTCCTTTGAAATGCTTGCGAATTCTTTCATCAAGGCTCATGCCAGAGCAAGAAAAGTACAGGCCCGAAAGGACAACATATTTAGAATTGTGCAAGGAGAGTCTGAGCTACTACGAGAGTTTGTTACCCGGTTCCAGAAGGAGAGAATGTTGCTCCCGGTTGTCCCGGATGAATGGGCAGTTGAGGCATTCACCAAGGGATTGAATCCGAGGAGTTCAGACGCTTCCGAAAAATTGAAGGAAAGCCTACTCGAGTTTTAAGCAACGACCTGGGCGAAACAAACAAAGGATGGAGGAATAATATGGCTATAGAAAAATATTTAGTAAAAGGAAATACTAAACAAAGAGCTTACGAGTGCGGTTCCAAGCGACCGGAAAGGATGAACCCGTTTCCGGAATGATGTCATTGATGGCAACTGTAATGAACCGTTCCATCCACCCACTATTGTTGTCATCATCCATGCTAGACAACAAAGCATGGTGGCCACACTTGCAGAGGTTTATCATTCCCCCGCGGAAGATTTTGGGAGAACAGAGATTTATCATATGAGCTAAGGTCAGCTCCTCTCCAGTTTTCTGGCACAAACGCCGAAGGCAAGCAACTGTCCTCCACACAGAAGGGCTTACTTGTGCCAAACACACTTGGTAGCGGAGGCAAAACTCTGCAATCACGGAGTCAAGCTCTCTGCCTAAAGAGAACGCAGCCAAAGTAAAAGGTATATGATGCAAATATATGTAAAACCCTCATTGGGTAGGGTGACTCACTCCGATATATCAGGAGCAATAATTTCCAAGTCATGGCAGCGGCAGTCTTCCTTCATAGCAGGAATGCTCGAAGGACGTATGGAAGTAGAGTACCTACTAACGGCCCATGTATGAGAGTTAGCAGTAGAAAATTTCTCTTCGAAGTCTTTTGTGGTAATAAGACTTCTAGAGATGATAGAGCCCACTGTTGGAGGAGCAGAGTCCTCGGCCTTGCTCTTGTTTTTTGAAAAACCGGTACATTTTGAGGAAGAAGCCATTGTATGAAAGAAGGAGAAGGTTTTTCGTTTGAAGAGAATTAGAGAAACGATGAAGAGCAAGATGCGAGTTAGATAAAGGAAGCTTGAAAGATTATGAAGTATAAGGGAGGAAGCTGATACGTATAAGTAAAAGTTTTGGCGGCTAAATTTATGGCCATGATTACCTCGATAATCAGCAAACGTTGTGCTGAATCATGAGACGACACGTGTTCGCGGCATTAAATGCGGAGAGACATGTGTCAAATCAACCGTCAAAAGCCTTCAAAGGAAATTATAGTAATTCCCGTCAAAAGAGCGTTTCTACCAACTTTCCGGTAACACAAAGTCATGTCACCGGAAAGTAGGGGATTATATATATAGGGTAAAATATGCTATGACGCGTGACCGTCTGAGAAAGGGACACGTGTCCGTCCGAGAAAGGGACACGTGGAAGCTAAGACTGGGGGATGGCTAAAGACCAAAGGCAACTGTTTTATTTGTCACCGGAAAGAATAACGCTCATAAAGATGTGATAAATGCTCTTCTCCTGGTAGCATTTAATAGAGAATATTTCATGGCATTAAGAGCAGTTACCCGTTACAAGGAATTTGGCATTTATATTCACCGTTATATCTTCATCAATGCCCCTCATAATTTACATTAAAGAAGGGGATGACCCTAGGACCTTCTTCATAGCTATAAATAGTGAGCTCAGTTGTCATTGTAAATGACATAAATTTTCTGGCAAACTTATGCTATACTCTATACAAAGCTCAATCCAATCTTATCTTCTTATTTCTTAATTTTCTTTGTTGTTGTGCCCGGAAATCATGTTTCCGGAATTATTGCTTCTGTTGTTTCGTCTATATCCTAAGGCTAAGTATTGTGCAATTCTTCGATTATTTATTTATTTCATGATCAAATTAATTCACTTATTTAGAAACTACGTATAAATTCAACTGTACCATTTTAATTACGGGTAAACAGGTATGACACCTAAACTGGCATGTAGGAGAAACTTAGCACCACGTTTATCTATTTCTGATCTAGAACATGCGAAGCAGATGTTGAGTTTGCAATATATATTGGTAAAATGTTCCGCGATTTCTGTTATCCGATTTGAAAGGTATTTTTTTAAAATTGGTTTTAAGGAATAAGTTACGTTGTAGACTTGTTTCATATAATAATGAATGTTCATTTTCTTTGTATTTGCTATATAGAATAAATAGAATCGACTTTTTAGAGCTTTAGATAGATAAAATACGACATGACAACTATTGACGAAGTCGCACGTAAAGAGTTTGGTCCCAAAAATGTTTTAAGCTTTTATGCTTAAAAAGGTTAAAATATGGTTTATGTGGCTTGCCCCTATAGATCTTTCCTTTCTGTCTTTCTTCAAAGATTATCGTAATTTAAATAATTAATTACGCTCCTTCAATTCAATACTTAACGAAATAATATAAAAGTTAGAAGATGTTCATTTTTTGCATTGTAAAAGTACGTATATTATGCACTTTCTTATTTTATTTTATGAAATAAGCGAACAATTATCTCCTACAAGCTAGATATTAGAAAGTAATTATATGTTGTGGCGAAGCTAACGTACGGTAAGGAAGTGTACGGTAAGGAAGGAGTTCAATTGAATTCTATTAAAGTGTAAAACTATCTAATCTAAAATTTTTAGCAATTAGAAAGAGCTTACATTTATTTACTTAAATTTCTCGTTGACACCACCTCGCGAGCTTAGTTCTTTCTTATAGGTCAAGCACGTGAAAATTCTTTACTCCCTCCGCCGCAAAAAGTATTACAAGTCACAATAATTAACAATTCATAATATTTGAAAGCCGCCACCGAACAACTCATTTGACTGTCAAATCCGTATTGTATCATTCTTTTTGGGATGAATGAAGTATTAATGATGGATAACGTTAAGACTCGAATCCAGGATCTTACCTGCTCTGCTACCATATTGAAGTGTGTGACCATTTCATTTAACCGGAAAAAAACACACACAAAAACTCACCGAAAACATAACAAAAGATCATTAAAATAGCAAGAGTGAGATTATTTGTAAAATCATATACATTGATCTAGTGATTACTTATTTTGAGAGAGACAATCAGCTGCTAATCAAGAACTCTAACATTGAGCCTTCTAAGCCAAATGGAATGAAGTATCATATGTAACAAATCAAAAGGCTTAGCTGGTCTATTTAATGTAAAATGTTGCCTTACTTGCATGACAATCTTCTGCTTCTTTAAGTACTCTTCCATTGATACACTTTTCAAAATCTTTTTAAGTTGAGGTATCCGATCAACTGATATCTGAATCGAGAATTCCTCCCAATCAAGAACATCACTAAACGGTAAAACATAAGTATCAGAGATAATCACAGGTACACACCCTGCATGAATAGACTCCACGATTCGAGGACTTGCTACTTCATAACCACTAGGGCACAGACAAAACTTGGCTCGTCCCATTAATTCGAAATAATTCAAGTTTTTTGGGAGATATTCGTGGATTTGAACGTCGAGATCTCTGTCTTTCCAGTGTTTTAAAAGTCGTTTTCTCACGTAACCATGAGCTCCACCGGCGAAGAAAGCTAGGATTGAACGATTGTTTGGTGATTGGCGGAGCTCAGGTGGGTTAAGTGATACTGTATTGATGATTTTTACTTCTGTCAAGGAGACATCTCTAGATGGTATGAATCCTTCTGAACTGTTGGCATTGCAAAGGACTCTAATAAAATTTTTGAAGAGCTTGGGGTTGGCTTTGGTTGCATCAGGTCCCTGAAATACAAATAGCACTTAGTATCTATACTCTCTACATTAAGTTATTACTCCAAATTGGTTCTATTTAGACATGATGTAGGTTTGAACTACACTAGTATAACAAACTTTGTTTTCATTTTATTTTATAAACTAATAGTTGAAACCTCCCCTCTTTAACTCAAAAAATTCAATGTCCTACAATGTATGCGGAGGGG